TTCAACTATTCCCTCAATCAATGGATAATTAATTCATCGGTATGCGATTTGGAGAATGAATGGTCATTATATGTGTCATACTTAGCAAGGCATTTTTAGGGGGCACAACGAGGAGTATAATTGTACATAATGGTTTTCATCAGTATTGGTTTGTTAGACATTTGTTGCATAAAATGATGTGTTTTGAGAGGATGTGGAATGTTATTGATCAAGAATAATGGTTATGTTTCTGCCTCCATTTTGTTATGATTATGGAAGACACAGGTTGTATCATGGGATCAGTGTCCATATGCGTTAATGTATGTTATGTCGATGTCAAGGTGTGATTACCTAGAATTCTGTGTATCAGTGAAGATGTTTGAACTGTCATTTATTCTATTTGTTGTTTGGGTTTCAACAGTCATTTATTTTATTAGGCTTGTATTGTTTAGGTGGATGTTAATATCATAGCATTGGGTTTAGAAATTGGGTGCTTAGACAGAAGACCTGTTGGTTTTGTCTTTGTCTTTATCACAGCATTTTGCATTTGATTTAAAAGTGTTCTTGAAAACTTTTGTATATGACTTTTTTATGCCCTTTGTTCTTTTAATAACAATTTTCTGTTGGATTTATCTAACTTCTTATGGGCTACAATCAATTGTTGTTTTGTTTGTGAAAAACGGGTTAATCGTGATTCTGATGGGGACGCACATATAAGTCATGTTATTAGTTAAATGATCTCTTTTATAACTATAGGCTGAGTATCTGAAACCTAATTAGTATGGGTAAAAGTGTGGGCTTTAACATTGTACCCATAATGGGTAGGGACTAGGGTTATATATATTATATGGCTATGTCCCCTCTGTAATCACAAGAATCAGAAACATAAATGACGACTCCACAACTTGCCCCATTGAGAGTTGTTAACGGGAGTGTGATATACAGAAGAAGATCTGGTCATTCATTTTTCAAAATTTTGAATCATGACTTCAACAAGTAAGTATTGATGTTCTAATATCATATAATCGATCAATGAATATTTCTGCTTATATTTGGTATCAGAGCTTAATTATATGATTTAGGACTCAATTATTTACCATTAATATATTATTATAATTTAACATGATTGTGAATTATGATTTGGTTGATTTGGTTGAACCATCTCCGTGTCTGGGGTTGTCCTACAGAGGTTAAAATATATAAAACTATTGAGACAAATCTTGACCCAAAAACAACTCGTTGTTTTTTTATTGGATATCCGGATAGATCTAAAGGATACAAATTCTTTTGTCGTGGTAGAGGTAATAAAATTGTGGAGTTCGTGCATGCAGAATTCCTTGAGCTTGATGTTGTTGAGCTTATCATTGCATCTGATAATATTGATTCTATTATGCATGATGTTGTTACTTTGTCACTGCCTAATTTTGATAATGTTAGATCATCCACTGCTCATGGAGGTTTTGCTCCAAATGAGAAAGTGATTGAACATCCAGTTGAAGATGTGGTTGAACCACTTGTTGAAAATGTAGTGGGTCCTTCTATTATAATTGAGGTTACACAACCTGACGAGCCAGTTGAGCAAATTCATGTTAGAAGGTCAGTAAGACAAAATTGACCTGATATCCCTGATGGTTTTGTAATTTATCTTAGTGAGGATGCTTATGATGTTCGTATTGTTATTGATCCTAAAAATTGTCTAGAAGATATTACTTGTTCTCAATCTAGCATGTAGACAGATGCAATTCATGATGAAATAAAATCCATGGTAAATAATGATGTTTGGGAACTAGTAGAGTTACCAAGAAACTGTAGGGACGATTGGATGCAAGTGGATATTCAAAACAAAGAAGGACTCGAAATGTAAAAGTGAGAGATTTAAGGAAAGACTTGTGGCTAAAGGTTTCACACAAAAGGAGGAGATTGATTTTAACGAAACTTTTTTCTTTTGTTTCCACTAAAGACTCTTTTAGAATCGTTATGGCCCTCGTAGAACATTTTGACTTGAAATTGCATCAGATGGATGTTAAGACTATTTTTCTGAATGATGATCTTAATGAGGAGGTGTACATGTAGTAGCCTGAGGGTTTTGTGACGAGTGGTAATGAGCATTTGGTTTGTAAATTAAGAAAATCTATTTATGGTTTGAAACAGGATTCTAGACAATGGTACTTGAAATTTGATGAGATGGTAACTTCATTGGGTTTTGAAGAAAATAAAGTTAATCATTGCATCTATCATAAGGTCAGTGGGAGCAAATTCATCTTTCTCGTGTTGTGTGTTGATGATATTTTGCTTGCTAGTAGTGATCTTGGTCTACTTCATGAGACCAAACTTATGCTAACCAAGTTCTTTGATATGAAGGATATTGGTGAAACATCATTTGTGTTGGGAATTGAAATACATAGAGATAGATCACGTGGTGTGCTTTGTTTGTCACAGAGGTCTTATATTGATAGAGTTCTAGAGAGGTTCAATATACAGAACTGTAAGCCAGGAGATGTTCCAATCACTAAAGAAGACAAATTCAGTAAAGATCAATGTCCTAAAAATGAGATTGAGCAGGCAGAGATGAAGGAAAAACCCTTTGACAGTGCATTGGGCAGCCTGATGTATGCTCAAGTATACACTAGGCCTGACATTGCTTTCATAGTTAGCGTCTTGGAACGATATCAGTCTAATCTTGGGAATGATCATTGGATTGCTGCTAAGAAAGTGATGAGATATTTGCATAGAACTAAAGAGTATATGCTTGTTTTTAGGAGAGTTAAAAACTTGGAAATAGTTGGGTATACTGACTCTGATCTTGTTGGGTGCGTTGATGATAGGAAATCTACTTCTGATTACATTTTTATGTTGGCTGAAGGTGCGATATCATGGAAGAGTAAAAAGCAAACTCTTGTCGCTTCTTCTACTATGCAGGCAGAGTTTGTTACTTGTTATGCTGTTGTCACTCATGTTGTTTGGTTAAGAAATTTAGTAATTGGACTTCGTATTGTTGATTGCATTGCAAAGCCACTAAAGCTTTACTGTGATAATAGTGCAACTGTGTTCTACTCCAAGAATAATAAAACTTCTAGCGGTCCTAAGCATTTGAAATTGAAGCATTTGACAATCAGAGATCTTGTAAAGAAAAATGAAATCGTTGTTGAGTACATTGGTATTGATTTCATGCTAGCTAATCCCCCTAACTAAGGGACTTAGGTCCATCGTGTTCAAAAACCATGTTGAGAGCATGGACATTGTGAGTTCTTTCAATGTACTTGGTTAGTGGGAGTTTGTTCTTTATGTCAATTTTTTTTAATCATGTTATATTTTATTTTGGACACTTTAAATGTTGGATTGTCAAGTACTTTCTATTTTAATCAATTGATATTACAATTAATATTATTATTATTATTTGTCATTGTTTATTTATATGTCAATTGTTAAAATTAGGACTCAGTGTCATTAGGACCACAGTGCCTATGGTCGACACTAGTTTGGAATTCGAGGTATGGTTATAATTTTGAACTTAGTATCTTCGGGACCACTATACCGGTGGTCGATGCCACATTGGAGCTGGGGTATGATTTTAAGCTCGGCGTTGTCAGGACCATTGTGTCGGTGGTCGACGCCATATTGGAGCTGAGGCATTATGGTTTGTAAAACCATGCAATTTCTTTGACTTTAATGCATTTGAGAGAAATCGTTAAGGACTGACAAAAAAATAGCAGTTGGCTGTTGGATCACATTAGCATGTTATTTTCTTGCCACACTCCACACTGATGACTAGTTGACGAAGTACGTAGTATTTGTAGCCACAAAAGGTTTTATGTCAATGAAGGATATAACAATCGTCGTGATTCAATACTACTTGACTTTCGTTGGGTGGAGTCATATTCAGATACTGCACCTGGAATCATGCATTTTCTTAAAATGCGGCCGTATTTTAAGAAATTAGTCATTAACCTAAGAGTCGTTTTCAAAATGTATTTTAAAATAAAATTCATACAATTGAGAATGTTCGATTTATCTAACTTTTTATGGGCTAAAAACAATTGTTGTTTAGTTTGTGAAAATGGGTTAATCGTGATTCTGATGGAATGCACATATAAGCCTTGTTATTAGTTAAGTGATCTTTTTATAACTATAGGGTGGGTACCTGAAACCTTATTGGTGTGCGTAAAAGTGTGAGCTTTAACCTTTGACCCATAATGGATACGGACTATTGTTATATATATTATATAGCTAATTCCCCTCTGTAATCACAAGAGTCAAAAACATAATTGACGACTTCACACTTTGCCCCATTGAAAGTTGTTAACGGGAGTGTGAGATACAAAGGAAGATCTGATCATTCATTTTTTTTAAAATTTTGAATCTTGACTTCAACAAATATTGATGTTTTAATTTCATATAATCGATCAATAAATATTTCTGGTTACATTTTCTGCTTTGACTTAAAAAAATAATAAGAGCATTGTAAAATTTTGAAGTGAAACATTATGATGATGAGAAGATGAAATATTAATTAGAGATGATTCTTTTTTGAAAATATTAGAAATAATTATTTTGATATTTATTGTTTCTAAAGCTGGAAGACAATATTTTTGCAAGTCTCTTTACTTCTTGACTCATGTTGACGGGTAAAATAAAATGGACACAAACAAACAAATTTTAGAAAGAAAAAAAATTACAAACTAAACAGATCTATAACAAATTGATAACGATGTGACTTGGACGAAGCTTTAACACTCAAACACTAGCGTTTCCTGGCTGAAACCAACCGCCGTGGAGGGAAGGGAAAAAAAGACACAAAAATTATTATTATTATTATGTTGGCACACTAGTCTTCCTCTTGTCTTGTATAAAAAGTTACTATTATGCAGATGATGTGCGTTTTGTAATAACTAGTCGCAAATATGAAAGTTTATATTTAACAAAAATAAAAACATTTAATTAGTAGGTATTGTCTATGTAAAAGAAAGCAATCCGCAGGGCAAAAACACGTCTCTAAATGGGGAGAGGGTGGAAGTGCTCAATCACGAATCTAAGTTCACCCGCCGCATCTTACACACAAGGTTTGCTGTTGGTAGATCAAGTTGGTTTGCTGAATCTGTCTTCAGAAGATCTTTTAACTGATCTCTTGAGGTAGAAAGACAACTTTGAAATGTAGCCAGAACTGCAGGGATTGGCATTGACAGAGCCGAAAGCACGTTACTAAGATAATCAATGTCAACTGATAGCTGCTGCGCACCGCGATCTGTAATGTACTGAATCCCACGCAACTGCTCTATGTAGAGTGCTGTTGCACCCTCTGCAACCTGAAATTTAACACAACCAGCAGAAAATGTTGAGTCATTAGTCCCTACTTCATATGTACAGAACGAAAAGTGATTCAAATTCTACCAAGGATATAAAAGTTTGAATGATTTTGCATAATCCATCTTGCACAAACAAGCTCGTATATATCATTTTCAACTTGGGGAAACTAAGAAACTTAGCCCTGTCTTCTCTACTTACGAGGAAATTTCTCACTACTTGTGTTAGAAACGGAAAAATATTTATTCTAAGATACTGATGATCATGTAGGCCCAAGATTGAATTAAGACTTGTATATCTTGGCAGAAACCAAGTTCATATGCTGTGTCATGAATATTAGATCAATGCTGAAGCATGCAGATTAAATTACAGCAGAAAATGAAGCTTTATTCACACTATTTCAGACAAAAGAGAATATTTATTCTTCTGAACTAATAAGCTTCCTCTATGTCATGAGTTACCTTGAACATCCATTCAGTTGCAAAGAACTGTGCTTCATCGTTGGCTTCACTGCTAGATATTCCCTCAGCAAGGGGCTCCAATTGTTGGGGTAAAGTAAGAAGATACTCACCAACACTGGTCACATAGGATTGTGGATATGCACTGAAGGTAGGGAGAGGAAAAGCACTCTGTTCCTCAACTGATGACCATATTGGCAAACGGGACACGTCACTGAGGCGTTGCCGTACTTTAGATATGAGGACATCATATACAAGTTCATTAACTGTGTCTTCAAATGCTGCAACTCTTTGAGACGCAAGGGGAAGAGCATGGAAACGGGGATCTTTAGACTGCAAATAAATAATTAAATATGTTTCTGTAATTCAACAAAAAAAAAGAGCACAAGAAATATGTCTGAAGAGATAGAAACAAGTGTCAGCAGTAGCACATAGCCAAAGGAACACCGAGGCAACCTTCTTGTCCTTGAAATGAATGAATTGTGAAATAGAATGGCATTCATAGTTTCATTGAAAATTAGTGAGCATAAACTTTTAGCTGTGCCTTATTTTGCTTAACCATATGATGAATACAGCAAAGAACTCGATTATAAAAAATGTCATTTTCATTTTACGCTTTTTCAAATAAAAGAATAAATGCTTTTTCAATTCCTACTCAAGGAGGAAAACATAACAAACAGCGACAGAGATTAAAGGGTTAGAGGCAGAGAAAACAACTCCGTAAGATTCTTTCTCAAATTATAATATATGCAAATGTGAATAATTAACTCTATTTATAAGGTGCTTCCCAATCCAAATATTTAGATTAATCCACTATCCCTTCAATTCCTACTCAAGGAGGAACACATAACAAACGGCGACAGAGATTAAAGGGTTAGAGGCAGAGAAAACAACTCCGTAAGATTCTTTCTCAAATTATAATATATGCAAATGTCAATAATTAACTCTATATTTATAAGGTGCTTCCCAATCCAAATGTTTAGATTAATCCACTATCCCTTCTATCATTTTCAAAACCAAAAAAAAAATGAGACACGGATAAAGCTAGTGTTAAATATACCTGATTCAAAAGGCTAAAGAGTTTCCGGGCTTTCTCGGGCACGTCAACCAGCCGCAGTGTTGCCATGTCCAAGGCAGCCCTCCCACCAAAAGATGGCTCTCCGTCTTCATTACCATTTATAGTCTGGTTTTGATCTAAACTTGAACCCAATGCTGAAAAAGATAAAGTAGTGCTTAATCTAGCAAGAGTAGCTCTTAAAGATGCTTCAAAGACAGAGGATCTGCTTGTCAAACTATCTGCAACTGTAAGGATCTGCAGTGCCCCTTGGACCATGGACCATTCCTCCTCATTTGAGACCAAATCAACTCTCCGAGCATTTTGACTTGCATCTTTCTTCTCAATGTCTTTCTTTCCAGTACCATCGCCACCAAAATCCACACCACACACAGTTCTAAGTGACTTGAGAGTTTCTTGTAGAGTGGAAATGTATTGTAACATTATGTCATCAAGGGCAAGAATCAGCTCATCTGCCTCAGAACCTCCAGTGAAACTGATGCATCTCTCAGCAGAAGCTTCAAGAAGTATAATAACTTGAGGAATAGACTCCTCCATCCTACGAACAGTTTCACTGAGTTCAACTCCTTGGGCTCCTACCCCTCGAATTACAGCTCCTCTTAAATCTATTCCTGCAATCTCAGAGGAAAGGATTGCACGCTCCATTTGTCCATACCTGTAGATATTCGCAATAAGCGTAGTAAAATTAAAAGATGCTTCTACAAGTTGAAAAAGGGTTCAATGGATGCATATATATGAGAATACTGTGCACGTGTCTTTACAATATAGGACCATTTGTTTATTGGCATATATGTTACTATTTCTCTTTTTTATTCATCTATGTTTTAAGAAGAAAAAAAAATGGTGAAATATGAAGTTAAAATTCATTCCCATAGCCCGTTCAATTCATCCACAATACTGAAGCCATGTGCCATATAGAATGAACACACAAACTTGATTTAACAAAATTTCAATTATGTTTAAAATTAAAATATGAATTTACCTCTGTTTAAACGATTCATATGGCAAGTACACGGCTTTCAGCACATCCATTAAAACTTGTACATCAGAACCCAAAAATAAGTGCTGAATATTCCTTGCAAAGGACCCGGTGATATTGTGTAATTCAATCAAAGCCTCCAGGTGCTTTGTCTGAAGCTTAATACCCTTTTGCATGTCTCCAGATAAAATATCTGATAAACCTACAAAGATTCATGAGCTAAACTATTAATAATTTGTAGATTTAATACAGAGAATAATACGGTTAACAATGGCAATTATTATACATTTTTTGCTAAATGAAAGATATATGCTAAATCATCACAATTTCCAACTTAAAACTCCCTCCCCTCCCTCCCTCCCTCTCTCTGGTGTTCTATATCAAATCTCGATTCAACATTCTCTTGCTAAAAAGCTTTTTGTTATGAAACTCTTCCAAAATCATATTCTTTTCACATGTGAACTAAAAATACAACAACCAAGTCTTATCCAATTAAGTGGGATTTGAACATAATGAACAATTCACTGCAAAATAGAACACAAAATGACCAAGATATTTCTTCTTGGAACATACATCTACAACTATTTTATCTATATAGCATAAAAAAACCTGATTTGGAGGGCCTGAAATCAATTACTACCTCCGTCTCAAAATAAAAGTCGTTTAAGGCTGTTTGACTCCTATTAAGAAAAGTAGAAAATTAAGGATTGTATGTAACAATTCTACAAAAATATCCCTATTTACTACTATTGGTTATTATAAATTGTCATAAATGAATAGTAAGATTTAATGACTTGAAAGTTGTGTAGGAAAAATTAATTAAGAGTAAAGTTGGAATAAATTAATTAATGTTGCATTAAAAAGATAAAATGACACTTATTTTGGGACAAAATTCTTTTGCTAAAGTGATGCTTATTTTGGGACGGAGAGAGTATTACTTTAAAAAGTCAATGTGGATAACAATTAATTAGCCGTAAATGTATATATTTAGCTAAGATTTTCTCATACAGAGAAAACCATGTAAAAGATTCAGGAACAACCTTTAGCCAATGCTTTTGTTTCTGGAACAGCATCTCCAATGGCAAGGTTGATATGAGATATGAAACTCGCACCTATAGCCATCATAGTCTCACTTAATAACCTCGGGACAAGAGTTTTATAATCTTCTGGAAAAGCAATCATACACCTGAAAAGCAACAGCTCAAATGTTTTTATTGCACTACTTGAAATATGCAAATTCATTCAATATCATTTTGTGCTAGCTAATGTTTTTCCAGTAAGTTGACATGGAAAATTAAAAAACCACCAGCACCAAATTTTGGGTGCATAACTATTTATGAGTCAAACCACTTTTGGATGTAATAAGAAACATGAAATTTAAGCAGCGAATGATAACATGGAATTCGTGATGCTTTAAATAAATCATATGTTCAACAGTAAGACAACAGTAAAAAAAACATCAGTAATGATACCATTTCCATTCTTGTTCAAGATAAAGTAGTAGCTCGTCATAAAAGCTTGGTAACCAATTGGAGAACGATATTGTAGGTGAAACAGACTGAAAATTGCCAACACTCGATGTTCTCTCCATTTCATTCTTCTCATTTGCAGACTTATTAGCCCGTTCTCTTGATTCAAAGTCTTCCCAAAGTTGTTTAATTGGTTTCAGATGTACCTTTGAATATTGAGATTCCAACGACTTAAACCTTCCTATTCTAATGAGAACTCCACGCAAATCTTGAGCAGTATCAACCTAAACAACAACAATAATAACAGCTAAGAAAGGGGATTCAATTCAAATCATAGGATGTAAGAGCATGGTTTCCAAAGTATCTGTAACCTTGCGATTGGATAATGCATCGGTAAGACGAGGCTGCACCATTGTGTCTAGCCTATCCTCCAAGACTTCAAGCTGCTTTCTTATGTTGGCAAATTCAGCAACCTAAATATAGAGTAGAGTGCGTGTGCAAAAGTGAAAACAAAAGTATATACAAAAAGTAAATGTACCAAAACTCATGCACTTGATAGATAATCAAAAGGGGGAAAATTAGTACCTCCCCGACAGCAGACAAGCAATGCCTCATATTAGCCAGAGTTTCAGCAGCACGAGGGAGATCACCACTGGCAAATACATCCTCCACTGTTGAACTTAATTGGGTTAATCCAGCAGCATCCTGTTATTAAACAACAAAAGAAGCAAGTTCCGGCGTCATTATAGTAAATCTGAATGTGCTGTAACAATATTCAATTCAGTATCAGTACCTGCAAAGTTTCATAAGCAGCTTCCATCCTCTGCTTAACTACATCGACCTTAGCAAGTGCCGCTATAGATTCAGCAGATGATCCCTCTGCCTATAAAAAAAGAGATAGAGTGAACAAAGGGGAAGGAAAACGAAAAGCAGGCAATGCGATGCGATCTCAGAATTTTACGATCCATTGAATATAGATGAATTGAGAGGAAGGAAGTGAAGAAAACCTTCTTGAGCTTTTGGAGGATGGCGGAGACAGCAGAACGGAGAGAAACGGCGTCATCGCGGAGGCGGATGACGTCACGAGTGGCACGAGGAACACGGAGGAGAGCAGCGGTGCTTTGGTCCTCGAGAGAAGCGGCGATTTCCTCGGAAACCATCTGGAGTTTCATCTCCAAATCGACTAGGTGCTTATCCAATGACTCCTGAGGGTGTCGACTCTGACACGCTGAGTTGATCCATTTCTTTGGGTCGAAGTTCTCGTTTGAGAACGGACCCAAATCCACCATCATCTTTGCTCTAACAACTTACTTCACTCTTCGTGTTCATAAACCATAACCAAATCACAGATCCGTCTGAGTTTAACATTATGAATAATGTCTTTATATTTTTATTTTTAAATGATCAATACATCGTGTCATCATTTGTTAAGGAATGTGAATTCTCTGTCTTAAAATAAAAAATTGATTTTAGTATAGAATTTTGAGTTTCTTTGTTTCTTTAATGAATCTTCCAATATTAAGAAAATGTAAAAATGTAAAATTAGTTCAAATTTATATTTAAAAACTAATGCAATAGTCAAAAAAATACTAACCTAAATATATTGGAAATGTTTCATTGATAAAACTTGAGCATAAAGTTAATAATAAATAGATGGTTTGAATTCGTTAAAAAATGTGGGATTTATACAAATAATATAAGTTACGTCTCTAAAAGTTTTAAGTGAATTTTATATGCAATTGATATGATAGACAAAACTTGTGATTTCGTTCATATTAGAAAATTCGTCACTGAATAGAGGGACGTTAGAAAGTACAACTTCAAAGTGGTCCTATGGAAAATGCAGAAAGGCAGCCTTGTACTTAGGCAGGTCGTCGTACCAACTCGCTTAGGGAAATTATAGTCTAATTGGGAAGGTCCATATCTCATATGTTAAAAGTTATCTCACGGAGCTTACAAATAGAAGAGCCGGACGGAAGACTCATCCCTAGGACGTGAACTCGGTTAACTTGGGACATTATTATAACTAGTCATTTATCATTTCTATTTAATAAAGTAAGAGACATTTTGTATGTCATGTATAAACTATTTTGATATTGTTTTTATTATCATTTTTCTACAAAATGGCAAACCTTTAAAAGGGAGTTCGTCATTATAACTGATGAACAATATAAATGTCAGATCTTCTCTGAAGAATCATTGTCGCCCAAAAGGCAATATAAATGCTAGATCTTCTTTGAGGAAATAGAAATGTTGGATCTTCTCTCAAGAATCATTTCCACCCAAGAGACAATATAAGTGTTAAATCTTCTTTGAAGAATCCTTGTCATCCAAGAGGCAATATTGGATTTTCTTTGATGAATCCTTGTTGCCTAATAGAAAATATAAACGTTGGATCTTTTTTGAAGAATCCTTAGCACCCAAGAGGCAATATAAATATTGGATCTTCTTTGAAGAGTCTGTGCCGCCCAAGAGGCAATATCAATGTTGGATCTTCACTAAAGAGTCCTTGTCACCCAAGAGGCAATATAGATGTTGGATCTTCTTTGAAGAATCCTTGTCACCCAAAAGGCCATATAGTTGTTGGATCTTCTTTGAAGAATCTTTGTCGCTTGTCACACCCCAAAATTTACCCCACCCTTTTCACGTACTTCTTAAATATTCATATACTTCATATCATGCATATACACTAGATCATCAAACCCATCATGCATTCACTAGCATGGGCTAGTCACTTGGATCAAAGGTCTTGGTCAATTAGGGTTTCACTCTCTTGCAGGTTGTTTCAAGGAAAGTGTAAAGAACTTGAATTAGGGTTTGTCCTTTACTAGCTGATGAATGTTCAATGTTTACTTATACATCATCCTCACAAGAGGTTCCCTTGTGAAGCTTGTGCATCTTATCATACAAAAGATTCCATCATTGCTTGAAGTGCAATTCTTTGAGGAGATTTATGGGTTTTCATGTAACTAGGATTTTCTACACTATAAGGGTTTATTCTTCAACCAAGGTGGCAGGAGGCATGGGTTGATATTCTTTTGTTGTGGATCATCTTGTTAGGGTTTTTACTTGGGATCGCTCATCATGGGACAATACAAGTAATTGGTTTTCATGCAAAGACTTGATATAGCATTGTGTGGAGGATCTTTGATTGAGTAAATCTTATCCATTCATACTTGGCCAAAGTTTTGAATTGGATTTAAAGGGCTATTTGTTTCTATGGTAGTGAAACTTCATGACTGGATGTTTCCTTTGTGGTTAAGGTCTTATTTTCTCATATGGATGGAATGATTCTCATCTTAATGATCAATGGACATGTGATGCAAGTTAGTGATTGCTGGATCTCACTTTGGATTTGTATTCTAAAATTAGTTTGGATTTCATCAAGGTTTGATTAAAGAAGGAGAAAGAGAATTTGGATTTCATTAAGGCTTTTGAAGGCAAAGAAATCAAACCCAAGGTTAAATTCAAATATTCAGTTTATGCAAATGGAAGGAAGTTGAATTACTTAGATTTCAAGTAACAAATACCAAGTTACAAAGGTGCAAACACATTACAAAGTATCAAAATTGGAAATTACAAAGAAAATTGACATTTTGACCTATGGTTGACTTTTTGGTCAAGTGTTGACTTTTGGTCAAACCTCTAACCTAACCCTAGACCTTAATCCCATATTCATTCTCCTCCGAGCCATGCCATCTTTTTATTCCAAACCTTTGTGTTTCATCAAGAGACTTGTAAGCCATGTCCTTTAAATCCATGCCCAGCCTTGCAAAACTCATACTGACCCTGAAAAAATCATGCACAATTAGCATTTGGTCTAGTGTACATAAGTCAAATTCCTCACAATATCCTTGCAACATTAATGCCAAAAACATATCATAACAGGTCACCATCAATTTCAACTAAGAGCAATGTAAGTTCCAACATATATGTAATCCACATGATTCAATTCACAATCAATATACATCAGTTCATCATACAAGGACACATGACATGGACAATCAAAGCAAATACGTCATCATAATATTGCTACAATGGACATGTTCACTTCCCTAAATCACATCAGCATACAAAACTACACACTATAGCAAGAGGATTCAATGGAACATGAAAATGTAACACACAAAAGAGCAATACATAGCCAAAATTGTCATAGGAGCATACATGTTCAACACATCAGTTCAGACCATACCATTCAAGCATGCTTCAATTCACAAGTCAACATAAGCCAATACCCACACATAGTTAAATCCTCACCCTCCATAATTGGTGCAACATACTAACACTCCATATTTTTGGCATCAACAACATTGTATCTCCTACTCTCAGATTGATCAGTGCATTTTAATGTACCTTCCTCTATGTTTAGACTTAGGCATTTCTACCATTTAGTTTATTTAATTTCCTATTTTATAATGTTTTTACAATTTATTTTATTTTAAGCTTTATTTAATTTTCGTTTGTTATTTTTCAGCATTAATAGCTTTTAGTGAAAAATTCATAACTGGAGCTACAGGAATCGGATTGAGGCATTCTACCAGTCGTTGGAAAGCTAAGAAAGAGATCTACAACTTTCATGTTTCACAAAGGAGCTGATTCGGATTTCTTGAGTCTCGAATAATTCGTTGAAGTTTCTGACTTGTGACAATGTAGTTTTCCTTGCGGGCCTAGTTTAGGTTTCTGGCCCAGTTATTTTCTATTTAAAGTTCTTGTTGTGATGCAAAACAGGGACCGAGTTTATTTTTCCGAATTTTTTCCTTTGTTTTATAGTTTTCATGGAGAACTAATACCTTCGGGCAAATCCTGCTGTGTACGGTTTCAACACTTTGAGGTTATTATTATGTCAATTTACTCTGATTCCTTTCAATCCTTTTCTATGAAGTCATCTGCTTAATTTGATTACAATTGTTTGCTTAATTCAATTGTTGTTCATAGGATAGAATTGGTTAAATTCGATTGTATGCATGTTCCTAAATTTAATTGCGTATTATCGTTTGCTTAATTCGTTAATTCGTCATATTCTTAACCGTTTGCTTAATTCGGTAAACAGGAACATAATTCATTTGATATTGATAAGCGCTTGTCTGATTAATATCATAATCGAATAGGATTGGTACCGCTTAGGGATTGATGTTATAATAACCGATGATAAGTCGGAACCCGAATCAGTAGGATTAACCGTTTTAGTTTATCTGATAATCATTTTTTTAATCACTTTTTTTTTCTTATTTTATAAATCAAAATTTAAAACCCCCATAAACATTTTCTTTAGTTGGTTGAAATAATACAAGAATCCTTGTGAGAACGATATTTCGAGTCATTTGTCGCTATATTACATTTTTATCAAAACTACTCGTTTTTGATCCGCGAGCGACCGCAGATCAAATTGGCGCCGTTGCCGGGGATTCTTATTAATTTTAGCCAAATGTAAAATTTTAATTTTAGAGTTTTTGTTTTTTTTGTTTTTTGTTTTTTGTTTTTGTGTGTAAATTTTCAGGGTTGCAGTACAGTGGTAAGCGTTTCAGCCTATCAGGTGAGTTTGTAAGCTATTGTTCCGATTTGCTCCGAATTTTTTCCAGAAAATCAGAAATAAATCGTTTAACAATACTCCTTTAGAATAGAATTCTAAAAGATTTTGACCCTGAAAATCGCAAATTAGTTATTTTTCTATTTTATTTTATTTTTTTTCTATTTTCATATTTTCAAAAAAATCCGAAATTTTTTTTATTGACTCATTTTGATTTTATTTGATTTTTAGTTATATTTTTATAATTTTTAGATTTAATTTTATTCGGTTTTCTATTTTTCCATTCTTTTTCTTAACGGGGACATTGTTGGTATTTTTCTAATTGTTGCTGCATTGCCGAATTTGTTATTTGTTTTATTTTCTTTGTTGATTTTCCTATTAATTTAATATGACAAATCAAATAACTCTTAGAGAACTTGTTGCCTATGATACAAACTATAATGCTTTATGTATGGAATATCCTGTTGTTAGTGTACCTTTCGAATTGGAATCTGATTTAATACACTTGTTGCCAAGGCTTAATGGACTTGCAGGTGAGGATCCGAATAAGAATATGAATGAATTCAAAATTGTATGCTCTACACCTTCTGAACCTTCATTAGAGGACCTTGTCAAACAAATGGCTATAAATGATCTTCAGTTTCAGCAACAAACAGATTCAAGTCTTCAGGCTCTACAGACACAGATTGAACAGTTTGCCACTATACTGAATGCCATGCAACAAGCTCAAGAATTAAACCAACTATCTGCCCAAACAGTAGT